TATTGATTGGGCATTTTTAACGGATTCTTTTCGTTTTTTCTTTACTGCCCACTTTGCACCAATATAATCGCATTCGTGTGCAAGAGCCATAGTAACGTGACCGGGGGATGCTTTTAATCAGTGAGTCGCCGTGATCTGTTGCAGAATTTCATCAGGTCTATTCCTGAGGGAGGGGATGTGATGCAACAATTGCCTATACTAATCCTAATTGCTGAAAGGAGAAGAAGCTTTGATGAAGTACTTGGGCACTGAAATTCCAGGGTGGTTGTGAAAATTCAGAGGAAATAGCCCACCCACCCCGAAAATTTCTCCCCTGCAAACATTGGGATTACTGAGGAACACGATTTATCTCAAAACATGTCATCCACTCCCATCACTGGAACGACCCGGCTCATCTTTTGCTAAAGCACTTGAGCACTGAAACCATCAATGTCAGAAGTCATCTTACCTTTCAAAAGAATGATGTTATGAGCCCACGCAATCAACCAGCACGCTATAATCCAAAACAGTGTCTGCTTGCGGCCACACCAATTATTGTATCGAACAGGGCAAGAAATAGCGAGCAGTCGATTGACGGTTGATGCCACGCACGTATAAAAGCTTGAAAATTGTAGCGACAATGCTAGGTAGCCGACGATTGGTTGTTTCTGTTTAGATAACCATTGACCACTGAAAATTGCGGTACACATTACTAAATCAAAACAAACAACTAAATAACCGCATATATGATAATCTGTTTAAATAATCATACCGATAAAGCGCAATTATTTTGATCAATCTCTTTTATTACTAATAAATCATTAAATAATCAATTGAAAATCAGAGCGAGCCTGTTGTTTGTTTTTAGCATAAACGGCCTGCCGCTTACTTTTTTCTCTCCCACAGGATGGGGCAAAGATACTGTGACAAATAACTGTGGTCCATTTTATTGATAGATTCAAAACCAGTATTAACCGTAGTAGGAGCGTTTGACAATGCTCTAACAAGCAATAGTATCCAATATAGCTAGTGGCTTGTAAACATGGCGCTGCACGCTGTTGTGCGCACAAGTTTTGCGCAGGGTCAACCGCCCGTTGCGCAAATATCAGCGAGGGGGTCGTATTTGGCCTATGGAAGGTGAGGGGCTCGTAAGCTCCGCCTATAAGCCGGCATATCGCCTTGATAGTGTCTAAACTGCAATCTTATATATTAGGTTGTCCTGAAAGTCTTTGCCCATTTGTCGATTTTTTTCAAATCCACTTTTCTTCTTTCCAGCAATTTACAGTCATATGCCCCATCGTAATCGTCAACATATTGCCTTTCAGCAGGTGACTTGTGGATGCCGTTTGCCTAGAAGTCCTGAGCTTTCAAGGCAAAAAACTGGAGGAAGTCCGTTTTCGAGTAGTCCGGAACATAAAGCTCTCCCTCTTTTAGTTGAATCAGCAGCAACAGAAGCAGACGGTATTCTGTTGGGGCCGGATCTGCTGAACACAAATGGCGGGACAGAACATCCCATGAGGGGCTTGGAGACTTTTGCTGGACCTTCTTCAAAATTCCTTGACGATCGCTGCTCGGATGAAGTGATCTTTGTAATGTTTTCTACGCATAGTGTTGGAGATCCCATCCGCTTGCCCACATTATCGAACTACAACAGCAGTGAAGTTCGTTGGTAGGAGCTGTCGGCAAACGGATCGCTTGCAGCTTTACCAACTCTGAAAGTTGCCTCTCAAGTTGCAGTGCTGGAATGGACGTCGGAATCTCTGGTTCTACGCGTCTGAGCCAGTGGCGCTCGCGGGTGTGGTTTACTTGAGGAACCCACTCCTTGCTACCACCAACAAAGTAGTCGGGTCAAAGCAAGATACAGACGGTAAATCAAAATGTTCATGCAAAATCTGAAGGCTTCTGAAGGCGGTTGTCACCCAGATCACGACATCCCTTTTTTCCATAATTTCTTTTCTTTTTGAAGAGCTA